GCATATATGCAGTCAGAACATATACATAATAAATAAATAAATAAAATCTTTAAAAAAAAGACACGGTCAATAAGACAAAAAGACAGCCTACAGAATGGGAAAAGACCTTCACCAACCCCACATCTGACAGAGGACTGATCTCCAAAGTATATAAAGAACTCAAGAAACTAGACATCAAAATACTGAACAATCCAATTAAAAAATGGGCTAAAGAGCTAAATAGAGAATTCTCAAAAGAAGAATCCCAAATGGCTGAAAGACATTTAAAGAAATACTCAACATCCTTAATCATCAGAGAAATGCAAATCAAAATGACTCAGATATCACCTTACACCTGTCAGAATGGCTATGATCAAAAACACTAATGACAGTCTATGTTGGAGAGGATTTGGAGCAAAGGGAACACTCCTCCACTGTTGGTGGGAATGCAAACTTGTACAACCACTGTGGAAATCAGTATGGAGGTTTCTCAGAAAATTGGGAATTGATCAACCTCAAGACCCAGCCATACCACTCTTGGGCACATACCCAAGGAATGCTCAATCATACCACAAAGACACATGCTCAACTATGTCCATAGCAGCACTATTTGTAATAGCCAGAACCTGGAAACAACCTAGATGCCCGTCAACTGAAGAATGGATTAAGAAAATGTGGTACATATACACAATGGAATACTACTCAGCAGAGGAAAACAATGACAGCATGAAATTTGCAGGCAAATGGATGGAACTAGAAAATATCATCCTGAGTGAGGTAACCCAGACTCAGAAGGACAAACATGGTATATACTCACTCATAAGTGAATACTAGATATAAAGCAAAGGACAATCAGACTGCAACCCACAGAATCAGGGAGGCTACATAGCAGGGGGGACCCTGGGATGACTGTGGCTTATAATAAGTTTTGGTTTTACTCAATCACTGGGCAAGCCTAGGTGAAACATTTCACTATTAGGATAAGAATTTGTATTGTATCAAGCTGATAATGGAAAAAAAATAATTGAACAAATAAATAAATAAACAAAGAGCCACCTAGCTTTAGCTTACCACCAGCAGTAGCTTCCCCTGAGAGAGAGAGTTTCTTCCTGTCTGACTTGTCTTTTCATTGCTTTCCTGTTCTGCCTTCTCATTGGCTCTAAACCCAACCACATGACTTCCTCATCACTGCCTGTCTATACAGACCTCCTGGTCTCTATGGTTGGTACTGGGATTAAAGGTTCACCATGCTTGGCTGTTTCCTTGACCACACAGAGACTCTGCCTGCCATGTGATCAGATTAAGGGCGTGGGCTGCCACCACCTGACTGCTGTCCCTGGCTCGCTATGACCTCTGATCTTCAGGCAAACTTTATTTATTAACATACAAATAAAATCATATTTCAGCATAATTAAAATATCACCACATAAGTGACTAGATGAATTAACTGTGGTATATCCATACAATGGAATATTATTCAGCAACAAATAGAAATCACATATCTAGCATAAAATGATATAGATAAATCTTTTAACTTAAATTATTATTTTATATTTACTGGTGTTTTGCCTACATATATATCTATGCACCACATGCCAAAAGATGTTATGAAGCTGGAGTTACAGACCACTGTGAGCCTCCATATGGGTGCTGAGAACAGAGCCTGGGTCCTCTAGAGAGCAGCCAGTGAGCCATCTCTCATTAACTACTGAGCCATCTCTCTCCAGCCCCATACAATGGTGTAGGTAAATCTTTTTTTTGTTTTGTTTTGTTTTGTTTTGTTTTTCGAGACAGGGCTTCTCTGTGTAGCTTTGTGCCTTTCCTGGAACTCACTCTGTGGCTGGCCTCAAACTCGCAGAGATCCACCTGCCTCTGCCTCTGAGTGCTGGGATTAAAGGTGTAAGCCACTCGGCATAGATAAATCTTAAGTGCACGGTGCTAAGTAAAAGAAATGCCTGAAAAAGCTACAGAGTGGATGATTCTGATTGTACAGCATGCTAGAAAAGGAAAATTATCCTTAGACTAGCAGGTAAGTAGCTGTCAGAGGATTGATGAAGGGTCTGGAGGTAAGGCATGGTTATCAAGTCTAGGCAGTGTTTTAAGGAGAGTGAAACTGTTTCATATGATTCCATCAGGGTGGCTAGAAGACACTGAATATTTGTCAATGAGCAGACTTTAATGTGCATAAATTTTAAAAGTTCATCTACTGGGGCCATGGTGATGCAAGTCTGTAATCCCAGCACTCTGGAAGCAGAGGCAGATGGACATCTGAGTGCAAGGCCAGCCTGGTCTACAGAGTGAGTTCCAGAACAGCCAGGGCTACACAGAGAAACCCTGTCTCAACACCCTCCCACCCCCGCAAAAAAAAAAAAAAAAAGTTCATGTAGGAAGTCAGACGGAGCATGGAAGCAAGTAGGTAATCTAGCTGTTTCACAGACAGAGAAGGGGTGCCACTTTGGGAGTGGACCACCACTGACCTGGAAGGCCAAAGGCCACAGAACACCCGAGCCCTGGGAGCCAGGCAGTGACCTGTTCCCAGGGAAGCACACATTAATGACTGGGAAACCCAGGTCACACACAGCACCCCGCTGCCCCCAGCATAGACCTACCTTTGGCTCCCCTCCTGGCCCTGGCCCTCCAACCAGGATCTTTTGGGACGTCTGTACTAGAGGCCTTTTTGTGCGTGTGTGTCGGGGGGCACACATGACCTCTGGGGGGGTCCATGAGCACTTTCAGTGTCAGCAAACATGCTGTGACTAAGATCTTCTTTGGTGGCCTTCACCATCCACCCACAGAGGCTTGGGAGGGGCGGGGGGGGGCAGTGGGCGATGGACCCAGCCTGCTTTCCCCTCGATTGTGGTGGTTGCCACCCCCAGCTCCTGCAGAGACGTCTTCTCATGGGTGATGCTGTCTATGTCAGCGTTGGAAAAAGCCGCGGGACTGGGGCTGTAGGCTTGGCAGGAGGGATCACTTAATTGAGGATTAAGGATTAATTGGGATCTGCAAGATGGGTGGGTGCTGCTGAGGCTGCTGAAGCCAGCCCTGGCACCTCAAAGTCCAGATCCCAGGCTGCTGCTCAGGGCACTGGGCCTGCCAGCATACTCTACCTGAGACCACCTTGTGAGGACCAGTGTGCCCCCAACTCCTAGCCATTTTATTTTATTTACTGTGTGTGTGAGTCAGAGGTTGGCAATGATGCCTTCCCCAACCACTCTCCTCCTTCTCCTTATTATTATCATTAGAGACTCTCTTTGTAGTCCTGCCTTAGAACTCCCTATGTAGACCAGGCTGGCCTCAAACTCACAGAGATTTCCTGCCCCAGCCTCCAAGTGCTGGGATTAAAGGCATGCACCACTGGCTCCTTATTTTTTGAGGCAGCGTCTTTCACTGAACCTGGAGCCCCCTGTTTTGGCTAGACTGGCTGGGATTAATGGTGTGCACCACCACACCAACTGCCCCTCCTTCCCCTTTTTGAGTCAGGGTCTCACTATATAGCTGAGGCTAGCCTCAGACTCTTGATCTTCCTGCCTCAGCCTTCTGAGTGCTGGTTATAGTGTGTGTCACTGCCTCCTGCCTCTGCCTAAGTCTTGATTTTGGGCTTCTCAGCTTCTAGACCTGAGAGTTTTAAATTAAAATATCTCTACAAGCCGGGTGGTGGTGGTGCACACCTTTAATCCCAGCACTCGGGTGGCAGAGGCAAGCAGATCTCTGTGAGTTCGAGGCCAGCCTGGTCTACAGAGTGAGTTCCAGGACAGCCAGAGCTACACAGAGAAACCCTGTCTCAGGAAAAAGACAAAAATGGCATTGAATGGAGACCCACAGCTTCCCAGCATCCAAGGGCTAGAACAAGGCCCTTGTGTGAAGGCTCTTTGTGCAAAGATGTGAGTCTCTAGCAGCATGAAGATTTAGGACACTAGTAAAGAAAAGGACAGGTAGCTAGTTAGGGCAGGAGGGCCCTGATTCCTGCTAGGCAGGCCCTATGTTCTACATTGACCTAAAAGGCCCCCCAACACAGACTGTCCATTAGATGGGCCTTGAATCTATGCTGGTGTCAAACTGTGGCAGCATTGATGGTGGCATGGGGGTCACCGACTGAGCCTTACATCCACTCAGCCTCTCACCCCCCTGCAGCCCCACAGGACTGGCCAGGCTATTCCCTTCCCACTGTGCTCAGGAAGTGCTGGGGGCTCCCGGAGGAAAGAAGTCCCAGCTGTCAGACAGAGGTGCCTCCTGGGGGGTTCATCTGTCTGCTGCCTCCCTCCTGGAAGGTGAAGGCTGAGCTCTGAGCAGTGCCCCTCCCAGGCTGTGGCAGTAAGACACATGCCACAGAGCTGGGAGAAGGGCTTGTCCTGGGAACTTCAAGCACAGAACTCAGAAGCACTGATGTGTGCATGTACATATGTCTGTGTGTGCATATGCATGTGTGTGCATGTGTTTGTGTGTGTGTGTGTGTGTGTGTGTGTTTACCAGCCCAAAGATGTCTGTTTTTATTTTTTGTTTTTAAGACAAGGTCTCCCTAGGTAGTCCTGGCTGGCCTGGAACTCACTTTGTAGACCAGGCTGGCCTCGAACTCATAGAGATCCATCTGCTTGTCTCCTGAGAGCTGGGATTAAGGGTGCGTGCCAGCATGCCTAGCTCAGAGATACCTTTTGGCACTTGCTTTGGGCTGAGCCCAGGATCCAGAAAGGAAGAAGAGGGGATCTCCATACCCACTGGAGCTCACAACTGAGGTTACTTGTGGTTAGAAAGCACAGCTCCGGGAGTTGAGTTTTGGGGTCACATGCCAGGCCTCCAGGATAGGCAAGTAGGGGAAAACTCTTTCTCCACAAGCTGGAAGATGCTTTATTGTCAGAGAACCAGGGAGAGTAAGGGGTGATGACAGGAGAGGGCACTGTGCCCAGGCAGGGATGGAGAGGAGGCACACAGTCCTGTACATAATGAGTTTCAAGGAACACATGGGATCCTCTGCGGTTCAGAGGCTGGTTTCCTCCCGGCTGGTCCACTCCAGCTTCTATATAGGCTCATCGAGACATCATCCGAACAAATTCTGCCAGGACAAAGCCAAGGTTTTAGGTCTGCCCTCCTGACTCCACTGGGGATGGCAGATGTGCCTGCCCGAGGGTGGGCTAGAGTGTGCTTGAGGAGACCTTCAAAGACATCTGTGAATCAGGCGGGAGGGGCCTCAGCTGCCCAGATTACAATCTTGGCTCTCCCCATTTCCTGTTCCTAAGTGAGCACTTCAGCTTTCCTGAGAATTAACAGGAGTTTCTTCTCTCGACAGTAGGGAGTGTAACAGCCTTGCCTCCTTGATCCTCCATGTTCAACCCAGGTCTGTTTAGATCAGTGGTTCTCAACCTTCCTGATGCTGTGATCCGTTAATACAGTTCCTCATGTTGTGGTGAGGAACCATAAAATTATTTTCATTGATACTTCACAACTGCAATTCTGCTATTATTATGAATCATAATGCTATCTGATAATCATAATAGTTATCTGATATGCAACCCCCAAAGGGGTCGTGACCCGCAGGTTGAGAACCGATGGTTTAGACTCTTCCAGGGCACATGCAGCTAAGCAGGGGAGGCATTACCTTCAAAGTCAACCAAGCCGTCTCCATTGAGATCGATGTCTTGGAGGATCTCATCTACCTCCCTCTGGCTGAGGCGTTCCCCTAGCAGGGCCTTGAGGGCTGCTCGGAGCTCCCCCACGCTGATACAGCCGTCTCTGTTGGTGTCAAACTGTGGCAGCATCAATGGTGGCATGGGGGTCACCAACTGAGCCTTACATCTACTCAGTCTCTCACCCCCCTGCAGCCCCACGGTCCCACCCACCCTCCACCCCTTCTACCCCAGGTGCACCTCCCGGAAGGCGTCTCGAAGCTCCCTCACGCCAATCATATCTGCAGTCTCTGCCAGCAGTTTGGGGCCCATCAGCTCCACAAAATCTTCAAAATCCACCTTCCCACCACCTGAGGGTACATCCGTCCATTAAAGACCCCGGCCTAGCACCTGACCTGCCTTCCCCAGCCTGCTGCCTTCCCTCTGGCCCCTGGCCCCCTCCTACATGGCATTAGATGAGTTCTCATCCCTGGGTACCAATGGCTACATCATCTTCAGCTATTGGTGGGACTTGTCCTCCACTGGGCTCTTATGACTCACTGTTCTTTCCCAAGCCTCTGCTGTGTGACTCTAGATAAATACTTCACCTCTCTGAGCTTCAGTCTCTATTGGTGAACAGGGGTGGGAGTGTGGGGTGTGTGTGGTGTGTGGGGGGGTTGTGTCAGCATCCTCACTCTCCTAGTAGAGTCTAAGGAGGCAGTTCTCTCTTTGATGACAATTATGCCCTGGGCTCTTGGAACAGCCCATGCAGCTACCTCAGGTCTGGGCCAGGGCTGGAGTAGGAGGGTGGGTGGGTCTGAAGTACATACTGATTTGTTGTGATATCTCGATGAGCTCCATCTCCGTGGGCATGTAGCCCAGTGTCCGCATGCAGGCACCCAGCTCCCGGTAGCCAATGTAGCCATCCCGGTCTCGGTCAAACTCCTGGAAGGCGACCTGCAGCTCTGCCGGGCAGAGTGAGGTTAGTCCTTTTCCCAAACCCTCCCTGGCTGCCGTCTGGGACCAGCCCATCTATTGCCTTGGTTCCCACCACTTCTTGCTTTTAAGCCTCAGTTCCTATTTGTTGTCTCAGGGCCTTGCACATAGGGTCTTAAAGTTTTGTTCTCTTGTGAACTGTTTAAGAAGCATCTGCTATGTGTCAGTTTCTGCTCTAGGGGATTAAAAAGAGAAGGAAGAGAGGGAGGGAGGAAAGACAGAAAAGCTATGACCTCGGGGGGGGGCTACATTCTCCCCCCTCGGGTTCAACGTCACCTACTCCAGGAAGACGTCCCTGCTCTTCCCTCCAGCGCGTGCATTGGTTTCCTTGAGGGCTCTACACAGCTGCAGTGCAGCTATCTCAGAAGGTGGGGACCTCATCTACCGGCTTAGCAGTGTTTCCTGGTTCTCAGTGAGGGGCCAGGAAGTGTCAGCCAGATGGACAAATCTGAAAGCGTCCTTGACCAGTGTGGTTGCTGAGACCAAGGGGTTGGCAGCAGCAGAAGGGAGGGTTTGCCACCCCTCCCTACCCACTCTCACCCCATGACCTTCTTACCCCTCCTGGACCCTGCAGAGGCCCCAGCCCCAAACCTCCTCTTCTAATCTCCGTCCGTGCCCCACCTCAACTAGCCCCCCTTGAGCCCTTTACCTTCGATCTCCTCTGGTCTCAGCTCCCGGTCCTGCAGGGCACAGACGGCTTAGGGGTTCCTCGGCCCACCCAGGCCTCAGCACCTTCCATTTCTTGGGGTTTGTCAGCCAGCCCATGCCACAGCACACCCAGGGCCTGTGCCATATTCTGCCCAGTCCTGCTCACCTGCCTGGGTGTCTTGGGGTTCCCTTTCCCTGAAACCTTCCAGGGGACCCCCAGGACCCCTGTTCCCACACTGTCTCCTGAGGTACATGCCTCCTTTTGACAGAGGTAGATCCCAGGGTCGGACAGCCTCAGACTCAACCCAACTGGCCTCAATGTCACTGCAAGTCTGCCTTGCCCCCTGTCCCTCTCCTGAGGAGCCGGCCACCTCTAGCCATCTTCCCCTTGGAAGTACTTCCTTTTCTATTTTTGCAGTGATGAGGGTATAACCCTGGCCTTGCTATAAGTAAGTGCTCTGCCACTGGGCTGCACCCCAACCCTTGGGTGGCTGTTTCTCTGGGTCCCTACCCACCCCCCATGCCTGGTACGGCTCTGGGGGCTCCCTGAACTCTTAACTTTTTCTGAAGTTACCGCTCTGCCCCCCACCCCGGGGTTGCACGTCTATCGTCTGACGTCCTCTCCAGCCTCTCCCTCCTATTCCGGGAGCGATGAGGCTAAGGGACCAGAGCAGCAGGCTGGCAGAGGAGTGACTGTACATACGAGCTGGGTAGCGGCGATGCTGGGTCGGAGGAAGATGCAGGCTGGCCCCACCAGGCTGCCGAGCACCGAGTAGCCCTGTGTGCCCTCCTGCTCCTCAACTCTGGGGCCAGGGTTGGGGCTGGAGCCCCCTAGGGGGGCTCCAGGCCACTGCCAGCGTTCCTGTAGCAAAGCCAGCCATGAGCTGAAGCAATGCCCCCTCTCCCCCGACCCTCTCCAGTTCTCAGCGGCTCCTTTCTCTGGAGCTCAGCACCTGCCAGAGGGGGCGGGGCCTCTGGCTACACAAGACCCGTTAACACTCTGGGCAGGAAGGGTTCCACTCTAAGAGGTGAGGGCCTCGGCCAGGTCCTTGAGGAAACCTGTGAACTGTGGCCTGTAGCTCTGGTCACTCTGGCCAAGGCTGAGTGAGTAGGGCCTGCACAGAATGGGCAGCTGGTCTATTAACTTCGCAGGGGAGACCTAGCCAAGGCTTACGGGGGGGGGGGGGGGGGGGGGGGGAGTGTTGTCCAGGAAAACATCTCCTTCAAGAAACGCATACATGCATTTATGCGTATGCTTCCTTTACCTTCTTCAAAGCCCCTGGCCCACCTCTAACCCAGCCCAGCACCTCCAAGTCTCTGTCTACTACCTGCCCAGCACACGGGGCCACCCAGATTTCTGGCCTCAGGTCTCCCCTTGGTCTTCCTACCTTAGGCCCCCGGCGCCAGGGCCGCTTGGCACAGTTCCCCATGGGTCCCTGAACCATGCCAGGCCCTGAGTCCTGGGAGGATGCTGTGGATTCTGCCAGCCCCCTGCTGTTTCCAGGGACAGCCTGGAGCACTGGAGAGGATTTTCCTGGGGTTTTGTGGGCAAGATCAGGGGCGGGTGGGCAGGCGGGGAACCCTGGGCCTGGGGCTTGGGCCCTAATCCAATCCGGGATTATCTCTGAGTATCTCTGCGAGTGTGGGGGGGTACTCAGAGTCAAGGCCCCTGGAAGGCACAGCCTCCCGGTCTTCTGTACACCCCCTCTAGCCCTTCTCCTCTCAGACTTGCACTAATCTCCCCAGTCAGCATCTTTAGAAGCAGGCTTGGATCTCCACAGAAGAAGCTAGCACCCGGTGCCTGGGCCAGCTGGATCCCAACTCTCCCTGAGTGGCAACTGGGGACTGGAGGATGAAGTTCTTGGAGAGAGAGCCTACCTGCTTTTACCTTGGCCCAATCTGAAGTCTCTGCACCAGGACCCTGTCTCCATTCAGGGCTCATTAACCCTGTGCTTGGACCAGTGTCCGATACCTTGCATAAAGGGCCAGCTCTAGGCACTGACTGGATCCCTCAGTATCAACAGAGATGGCAGATGGGTCCCTAACTTCTCCTGACCCCTCTGGTCACCTATGTATGAACTTGGCCCTAGGTCTGTCTTACTTCTAGCTTGGATGTGGGGTCCCTTAGTAAAGGATAGTCCCTGGCCCTTACCTGCCCATAGGCAGCCTGCACCTGGGCCTCCAGCTCACGGAGGAGGGCCCGCCTGCGGGCAGTGGGGCTGGCTAGGTCCTGGCTGGGTCCTGGAGTGTCTGTAGATGGGCTGGAGTCCCCTTCAGGGAGGCTGCCATCTGCCGGGCCCTCAGGCAGGGCCATGGACATGGGTGTGGTATCTTTTCTGTTCCTGCTGAGTCTCGACCTGTAGGTAGGTGGCTCAGTGGGAAGTGTGGAGATATACATACATATATATATCTGGCTCTGGAGGTTAGTAGAGCCTACTCCCCTAAAGTCACTATCTTCTTCCATTGCCCCTCCCATAGCACATCTTTGAAATCTTCACCTTCCTCCTATACTACTCCTATACTTCACAGACTGCATCCTGGGGCTCTTTGCTGACCCAGGTGATCGGGCTCCCAAGCTGGCTGGCCTTGTTCCGTCCCCATGTCCTGTCTGCACGTCTCTGGCTGGTGGTCTGAGAAGTATCTTCCTGCTCACTCTCCATCTGCCTTGGCCTTTGCTAACTACCATCTTTGTCTTGGTCAAGCAGTGTTCCCATGACCCTCAGGCCCTTCAGCCTCTCTCTGTGCCTTTACCTTTCTCTGCTCCCCTCAGCCCCTGCCTGCTCCCCTCAGCCCCTGTCTGTTCCCCTCAGCCCCTGCCTGCTCCCCTCAGCCCCTGTCTGTTCCCTTCAGCCCCTGCCTGCTCCCCTCAGCCCCTGTCTGTTCCCCTCAGCCCCTGCCTGCTCCCCTCAGCCCCTGCCTGCTCCCCTCAGCCCCTGCCTGCTCCCCTCAGCCCCTGTCTGTTCCCCTCAGCCCCTGCCTGCTCCCCTCAGCCCCTGTCTGTTCCCCTCAGCCCCTGCCTGCTCCCCTCAGCCCCTGCCTGCTCCCCTCAGCCCCTGCCTGCTCCCCTCAGCCCCTGTCTGCTCCCCTCAGCCCCTTTCATTGTTTCTTGGAGGCTCTTTCTCACCTTGTTCTGTCTGTCTGCCCTTCCTACTCTTATAGGACACCCCTGTTCCAACCTCTGCCTCCCCACCTCCTGTGTGGACCTCCCCACTGACCTGCAAGTTCTTCTCAAGGAACAAGGGCAGAGGTGCCACAAAACCTCCTTCCCCCTTGCCACACCCCAGCCACTCACCACACAGCTGGTCACTCCTTCCTCACTTCCAGAATGAGGTCAGCTGTGGCCTGCTGGCCTGCTGCGGGCCCCTCATGATTTATTCACTTGCCCTCTGCACCAGCCTTTGTCCTGGGGAACCAGATCCCACGCCATGTCTGCCATCTGAGCTGGCGACTCTATCATCCATCAATGACTCTCTTGCAAACATCAAGGCCAGGGCAGGGGAAAGAGAGAGGCTGGGCCTCTAGTTCACTAGGTAGAGTGCTTGCCTAGCAGGTAGACAGACCCTGGTCTCAATTCCCAGTACCCAATAAACCAGGCATAGTGGCGTACACCTGTGAAATACCCAGGGGTGGAGGTAGAAGAATCGGAAGTTCAAGGTCATCCTTGGCTACATAGTAAGTTCTAGACCGGCCTGGATTACATGAAAAAACCCCAGGGTAGTATCTAGTCCCAGGCCGGGAGCTGGGACCACATAACAGACCCCACCTGCCCTAAGGACTCCAGTTTCGGGTGACTCTAACTCAAACAAGGGCCACCAAGCCGTCTGTGTGTGCTTGGGAACACCCACCCAGGCAGGTAAGAGGAAGGCAAAGGCTGGGTCCGCTGACGTCAGGCTAGCCCTGGTTGAGGCTGACAGTCGTCACCAGTGACCTGGCGGTGTCTGGGTGCTGGAACCCTCCGTTAGCGTTGGACAGAGGCCTCAGGAGGCAGGGAAGGGCACCAGTGGCCTCTGTAGAAGTATGAGCAGCAAGAGATGGGGGCATCAGAGGGTGGTGTCAGTTGAGGGTCAGCCCTGAACCCTCTGATCCTGGGAGCAGGCAGCCAGCCTCACTTCCGGAACTTTTGACTGGGAGTAGGTGGCCTCCACGAAGAGGGAACTCTGAACACAGCCTAGAGGAAGTTGTGCGATCTGAGCCAGGTCAAGCCTGAGAGGTGTGTGGACTCTGGCCAAGGTGGTCAAGGTTGGGAAGGGCATCTTGTTATTGTTCACGGTGACTCAGCTTGTGGCTTTCTTCAGCCCCTCTGCACCGGGCAGGGACATCCTTGAAAACATTCCCCTAAGTTCTGCAAGATCTTAGAGGGAGCTGATAGGCTGGGCCCCCTGGGAGAATTCTTTACCCCGTGACCCTCTTTTCAATCTTTTTCAGCACTGGGGATTAAACTTAGGGCCTCATACATGCTAGACAAGTACTCTACCAGTGAGCTCCACTGCCAGCTGTTTCTTCTCTCCCCTCTCTTTTCTTTCTCCTTTCCTTCTGTCAAGCAGCTGGGATCGTAGGCATGCACCATTCAGTACGTTCAGTGATTTATCGGAAAAGAAGGAAAAAAATGGAGGCTAACCTGTGTTTGCCTTTAGGAAGGAAGGAAGTGATGAGAAATGTGTGTCTCAAAGCGCAGTCCAAGGTGGTCAAAAGTTAGTGGGTGAAGTTTTCCACGGGGACAAAGGCTTTGTCTCCTGGCTGGAAGCCCCTCCTGGCTTGCATTCAGGGAGCAGTGTCCTGGAGAGCTCATCTCCATGACCTCGATTTGACTCAGCCAAACTGAGGTTCCAGCCCTGGGGTCTAGGGTTGTCGGTCAATAGATCGGGGCACGCTGGGCAGAGGCCCTCGGGAGGCACAAAAAGGGTCAGTGGCCTCTACAGAGGGGATGGATGGCAAGAGGGTGGCGTTGGCAGTGTGTCAGCTCCAAGTGCTCGGTGCAGGAGATTAGCCTTACTTCTAGAACCTTCCATCTGGCAGGAGCAGCACCTTCGGCACTGGGTAGATGGATGGATAAGGGATGGAGGAGAGGAAGGATGGGGGGATGCATAGCCAGATATACTGACGTTTGAGTGGTTAGTAGTTGGAAGGGTAGATAATCGATAGGTGGACAGAGGGAGGGATGAATGGACAAACGGTTCATGGATAGGCAGTTGGGTCGGTGGAGGGGAAATTGGATAGCTGGATGTACAAACGGATAGATGGATGATATCTGATGAGACAAATGCTGATAGGTGGATAGATGGGGATTGCACAGACAGATGCTGAAAGGGCTGATGAAAATATGGTTGAATGACCTCGTGGAGGCTGATTGCCCGGGTAAATGAGTATGTGGAGTGAGGGCTGAATGTTTGTTGAATAACTAGATAGATGGGAAGACAGATGAATGGAAGCAGACAGATAAGTGCAGGATCATATATATATATATATATATATATATATATATATATATATATATATATTAAACACATGGTCTCACGCAGCCCAAGCTGGCCTAGAATTCACTATGTAACCCAGATTAGCCCCAAACTTAGGGCAACCACCTGCTTTAGCCTCCTCAGTGCTGAGCTTACAGGTGTGAGCCACAGTGCCTGAGTTATAATCTGTTTATCCTTATGCGTGCGTGTGTGTGTGTGTGTGTGTGTGTGTGGAGTGTGTGTTTGTTTGTTGTGTGTGTCTCTGTGTGTATGTATTGTGTGCACGTGTGTGTCTCTGTGTGTATCTGTGTGTGTCTCTGTGTGTATGTGTTGTGTGCATGTGTGTGTGCATGTGTGTGTCTTTTGTGTGTCTGTGTATGTGTATGTGTGTGTGTGACATGTATGTGGATGTCAGAAGTGTCCTCTGCACCATCGACTTTGTTTTCCTGAGACAGGATATCTCACTGGCCTGGAACTCACCGAGAAGGGTAGACCTGCCGGCCAGCATGCCCTAGAGACCTGCCGTCTCTCCCGTGCCCTGGGACTGCACTACATGCCACCATACCCAGTGCCTTTTACATGGGTCCTGGAGGTAAAACTCTGGTCCTCATGCTGGCACCACAAGCACTTACCAATTTTTCCATCTCTCTAGCTCTTGGGTTATGTTGTTTATAGATCATGGCTTAGGGTGGAAACCATAGCCCAATGGGTGCCCTCCCCCACGTCACTGACTGACCCTTACTAATCAGATGTGTCTGTCATCCCCCTGACTTTCAGCTGCAACACCTTTGGTGACAAAGACAGCGCCCTCTCTCCTGGGTGCTCCACAGGTCGAGCCCAGAGCTTGGCACTTCAGAAGCACCACACGCAAGCCGCAGTGAAAGAGGCAAGGATCAGGGAAGCTGGAGCGCTCTAGCCTGATGGTGCCGTTCTCCGTGGTGTGAGCACTGCCGCATGAGTCCAGTGTCCTTTAGAACAAGTGGCCACATGACTCCAAAAGCCAGCTCCTAGGTACATACTCAAGAAAATGAGTGCTGGGCCACGGTGGCGCACGCCTTTAATCTCAGCACTCAGGAAGGAGAGGCAGGTGGATCTCTGTGAGTTCGAGGTGGCCAGCCTGGTCTACAAAGCGAGTTCCAGGACAGCCAGGGATACACAGAGAAACCCTGCCTTGAAAGACGATGATGACGACGAAGAAAGAAAGAGAGAAAGAAAGAAAGAAAGAAAGAAAGAAAGAAAGAAAGAAAGAAAGAAAGAAAGAAAGAAAGAAAAGAAAAGAAAGTTTAAGGCAGCTTGAGTTCTATAATGAGACTCTGTCTCAAGAAATGTCATACATGTAATAGGGCTTCTTTTTTGGGGGGGGGTGTTTCCAGACAGGGTTTCTCTGTGTAGCCCTGACTGTTCTGGATCTCACTCTGTAGCCCAGGCTGGCCTCAAACTCACAGAGATCCACCTGCCTCTGCCTCCCGAGTGCTGGGATTAACGATGTGTGCCACCACCACCCAGCTTTGTGTGGCTTGCTTTTCTGACTCTCATGTAGCCCAGGCTGCCCTTGAATTCTCTATGTAGTGGAGGATGAGCTTGAACTTCTGAACCTTCCACCTCCATAAATAGTTATAGAGTATTGACGCATACCCAAATGTGGATGAATTTTGGAAAATGCTATGCTAAATGAAAGGTGCCAGAAAGACAAAAGATAACACTGTCTGAGTCCTTTCATAGACCTCATCAGAAAAGTGAACGCTCGGTACCCGGGTGATGCGGAGCCACTGCTAACGGCCATGGGGTTTCTTTCTGGACTCAATGATAATGTTTTGGACTTGGACGGTGGTGACAATTACTCAGTGCTGCACATAATAAAACCCACAGAACATCCATTATATAAGGGTGAATTTTACATAAACCGAGGCTGTATGTGCCTTTGAATTACCTTAGAAACATGTGTGGATAGACACACAGTCTAGATGTTGGGGATGGACAGAGGGAACTGCTTGGTCCATTGAACTGTCAAGGATATGCTTCTGGGGTGATCCCAGAGCCAGATCAAGGTCTGGGCTTGTAGAACCGAAGGCCTGCGAGTTCAGGCAGTCACCTGGAACTCTATAAGGTGGTGCTTCTCAATCTTCTTAATGCTGCAACCCTTTAATACAGCTAGCTTCTCATGCTGTGGTGACTCCCCCAACCACAAAATTATTTCATTGCTGCTTCATAACTGTAATTTTGCTACTGTTATGAATTGTAATGTAATATAAATAGCGTGACCCACAGTTTGAGAACCACTGTCCTAACAGTACCACACAGTCTGATAACCAAGTCTTTAATACATAGACCTTTGGGGTCACCTATTCAAACTATAGCACCTGCTTTCCAAAGTCTGTGATGCTTCTACCTAATGAAGGAATGTCTTGCAGACACCATGTCCCACCTGCATAATGGCAACAAGCCTCCCTCCCTCCCTCCCTCCCTGCCTCCCTGCCTCCCTCCCTCCTTCCCTGCCTCCCTGCCTCCCTCTCTCCCTCCCTCCCTCCCTCCCTCCCTGCCTCCCTGCCTCCCTCCCTTCCTCCTTCACTTCTTCCCAGGGTTGCATGGGAGATGAAATGAGATCGTTTCTATGAAAGCTCTTAGTAAGCGGCTCCATGCTGGGCAGATGTTCCTCCAGCTGTGAGCCAGGGATGAGAGCCCAGCTCTGGCACCACCTCCTCCACTTGCTCCCAGCCCCACAAAGCCGGGGGCTCAAGGGAGGGGAAGGAATTCCCCAGCATGAGCCTTGGTTGTTGGAGTTCTCCTGATGGGGTCATTTTGGTCCCCCCAAGTTCTAGATGGATGGCTCTGCCCCTCCACTTTCCTCGTGGCTCTGACCACTGAGAGCCTCCATCGAGAGACCCCGCAGGGAACTGGCTAGGGTCCTGGGCATGCCAGCAGGCCTGAGCTCTCCTGTATTCTGTTCTGTTCTGACGCCACATCTGGCCTGTATGGAAAGGGCATAGGACACCCGGGTTCAGGAAATGGTTTGGAGACACCATACTGGAGGCATGGAATGCTTTCCCTCAACCTTGCTGAGTTTTGCGGGAAAACCAGCGGTCTACATAGTGAGACCCTCAAAAATAAATAGATTGAAAACATATTTCAAAAACTATAAAAGCAGTAAGTCATGGGAGAAACTTGGGCAGAAAAGGCAGGTGGCGGCTTGTGGTTCCACTGACCAGCAAGTGGAGTTGGTCTCCAGATTCCTCCGGGCTGATGAGGTTTGGGCTCAAGCAATTAGCTTCCAGGCTTGGGAGACGGCTCAGTCCGTCAGCTGCTTGCCTTGTGAACACAAGGACCTGACTTGAACCCCCCGGGACCCAGTTAAAACAAAACAAACAACAACAGGCAGAACGCTGAAGGAGGAAGGATGGTCCTTGGGGCTCACTGGCCGACCAACCTACCCTGCGCCCGGCCAGTGAGAGACCTGTCCTCCTGCTCAGAAAAGGTGATGCAGCCCAGGCTGGTCTCACCCGTGACCTTCCTTCTTGGACCTCACAAATGCTAAGAGTCCAGGTATGCACGGCTATGGGAAGCCTCAAAGATACATTTGATGTCATAGAAGCATATTTTGAAGGGACACATTCTTTTTTCTTCAACAAGAAGGTATCAAAGAGAAAAAAATAATGGGCTTAAAAAGTGAGGTTCCCAGGGAATTGGCCAGACCAAGCCAGTGTGAATTCTGTTCACTAGCTGTGTGACCTTGGGCATGCCACTTCACCTCTCTGTTCCCGTCTCTATAAAATAGGAACAGTGCTAGTCTTGAGGATGTGGTACACAAAGTCTTCTTTGCTGCCTGAGAGTTTTCTGTTACAGTATCACCAAGACAGGAGGGGATAGTTCATTTGTTAAAATTTCCTTATTCTTTTCTTTTCTTGAAAAGACAAGGTCTCACTGTATAGCTCTGGCTGTCATGGTGCTCTAGGTGTAGACCAAGCTGGCCTTTAACTCAGAGAGCTGGGGGCCTTTGCACCCTGAGTGCTGGGATTAAAGGCGTGTGCCACCACGCCAGGCAGCATCTTACAACGAGCATTTATTGAGCATCTACTATGTGCTGTTGGCTGGAGACCTTCATGTGTGCAAAGCACTGTTCAAGCCCCTGAGGACACCAGGAACCGTGTGCTTTGGGTGTGTGAACGTGTGAGGCTTAGCACACGTGCCTCTTGAAAAGCCCCAGTACAGTACAACACTGCAGAGGTACAGGCGGATCTGGTCCGCACTGCCCCATCTCCGGGCCTGGCCTTTGCCTGGTGACTTGGCATATTCCTGGGGCACGGTGGGAGGTGTGAGGAGGCGGAGCTGCGCTGTAAATATAAGGCCCTGGGTCACTTCCTCTCTTTCTGCTAAGCTTGCACCGCACTGCTTCGCCCAAAAGTAGGAGCTGGGTGGTGTGGGCGGGGTCTGGGCGGTGAGGGCGGGGTCTGGGCGGTGAGGGCGGGGTCTGGGCGGTGAGGGCGGGGTCTGGGCAGAGTTGACACCTACCCCGGACCCCCATGAGGTCTTTCTTCATCATGGTTTCTGTCTCTCTCTCCTAGTGCCGCCTTACACCATCGTCTATTTCCCCTCCCGAGGTGTGGACTCAGTGCTTTCAAGATGAAGGGCACAAGCTGTAGCGCTCCGGTGGCTCCAGACAGTCGAGCCGGAGGGGCGTGGCCAAGGCCGTGTTGGGGCGGGACCGAGACTTGGGGCGGGACTACATGTAGCTGTGGTTGGTGGGGCCACGACTGCCCTCGCGGCCCCCTTAGGCCGCTGCACTTTATCTGGCTTGCTTTCCTGGGCCGTTGTGGGGCTGGGTCCCGGCTCTCCAAGGTACTGTTAGGACATGGCCTCTACCACATTTCTCCCCTCCCTACGATGCTCCGAAGCTAGCCTTTCGGTTCAGTCCCCTGTGGGCTTTCCACTCTTCCAAACTCTCCCAGGTCTCTTCACTGTTCCCCAGTCCCTGTTCTGTACCCCAATACAGGGCGCTGCGAGGTTATGCGCATGCTGCTAGCCGACCAGGGCCAGAGTTGGAAGGAGGAGGTGGTGACCTTGGATGCCTGGGGGCAGGGTACACTCAAGGCTTCCTGTGTGAGTGATTATACTTCAGCAGGTTGGGGCGCAGCCTTAGGGTGCTGTGACTAGGGTTGAGGGCAGCCAGGTTCAGCACCCCTTACAAAGCTGTCTTCTCCTAGCTGTTTGGGCAGCTCCCCAAGTTCCAGGATGGAGACCTTACCCTGTACCAATCGAATGCCATCCTGCGGCACCTGGGCCGCTCCTTCGGTGAGTCCTGGAGTTCAGCCCTGAAAGACACCTGACAGATGTCCTGCAAATGCCCTGGGGCTTCAAGCTGCTTCACTTGCAGCAACCAGTATCCCACCTGGATAAAGGACAAGTGGGTCACCCCAGAGGAAGGTTCCAGGCTCCCAGGTGTGGTGCTGGGCTGTCTCTGTGCACAGCCAGGGGTTGTGAGTTTCCACTGAACTTGTATCATTTTTCCTAGATGACATCTCATAGAGGCCACTAGTTTTTCTTTCTTTTTTGTTTTGTTTTCTCGACACAGGGTTTCTCTGTGTAGTGCTTTTTGGTGCCTGTCCTGGATCTCGCTCTGTAGACCAGGCTGGCCTCAAACTCAGAGAGATCCACCTGCCTCTGCCTCCCGAGTGCTGGGATCAAAGGCGTGCGCCACCACTGCCCGGCTGAGGCCACTAGCTTCTATGTGTGACAATACAGTGGGACTGGATACTTCCCAGTAGACCTTCCTGCCCATTTCTTCCTAACCTGGCCATGCCTGAGTCTGAGAAACCCACAGTCACAGTGAGGAGGCCTCAGCCTGTGTGAAGAATGGCAGGAAGGTAGCGAAGGCACTCTCTGTGCGCCTCGTTAGGAAAGGGGTGCCTGGAGTTCCATGAAGACGTGGTAACCTGGGAGTAGATGGGAAGTGCGAGTCGCTCAGGCCAACTCCAACTTCTGCAGGACCCAGAGAGCAGACTGAGGCCTTGGGCAGGGGCCTGCCATCTTCTCATCTGCCTTGTGCATCTGATGATGCATCTGCATAGCGACCTTCATACCCTAGTCTGTCTAGGTCCTTAGACAGCTTGTTCTAGGGGAGCGACAAACCAGAGTCTTTGTCTTACCTTGGTGTGGCAGTTCCAGGTGACAGGTGTGGCCCAGAAAACAGGCCTGGGCTTCAGTTGCTTGTGGCCCTGGGAGCTGGTAGACTCTTCCCTTGTGAAGGTGGCGTGGCCGAGGTAGGCAGGGAAGACCTCCAAAGCAAAGCTAGAGAGTAGGGTCCGGAGGGCCCAGGCTGAGGTCTGAGTTGAGGACGAGTACAGAGCCTGAGCCTGCCGCCTGCCTCCTGACCCAGGGCTCTACGGCAGAGACCAGCAAGAAGCCGCTCTGGTGGACATGGTGAACGATGGCCTGGAAGACCTCATCCGGCACCTTAGCCAGCAGTTCCTCCATAACTGTGTACGTACGGCTGCAGGCCAGTGCCACGCAGGGGGTCAGGAAAGGAGATCACTTTGGTCAGTCTGGCTGCACATCCCCAGCTAGGGTCACTTCCGTCCACAGGAGGAGGCCAAGGTCCAGTACCTCAAGGAACTTCCAGGACACCTGAAGCCGTTTGAAACTCTGCTGGCCCAGAACAAGGGTGGCCAGTCCTTCATTGTGGGTGACCAGGTGAGTACGGGGTCAGGCCTTTCCCACTCTACTCAATATCAGATCCTCTCTCGGAACTGAGGCCAAGTTCCCCGATGGAGAGGTGGAGGCAGGAAGCATCCAGTGTTTAGCTCCGTGGAGCTTCTCTCCCTCCAGCCCCAGCTCAAGCCCTGTCCTACACTTTTGTCCCGTAGATCTCCTTTGCTGATTACCGCCTGCTAGACTTGCTCCTGAACCATGAGCTCCTGTTCCCTGGTTACTTGAATGACTACCCTTTGCTCTCTGCCTATGTGGCCCGCCTCAGAGCCCGACCCAAGCTCAAAGCCTTCCTGGAGTCCCCTGAGCATGTGAACCGGCCCGTTTCTGCTCGCCTAAAGATATGAGCCCACCTGCCTCCTGCAACCCCTACTCATGGACCGATAAAAACAGTGGCAGGGGCCGGGTGGTGGGGGCACAAGGCAGGCCTGTAATCCCAGCACCCAGGAGGCAGAGACAGTCAGATCTGTGAGTTCGATGGTCTACAGAGTGAGTTAAAGGACATTCAGGGCTACACAGAGAACACCCCCCCCTACCCCCGTCTCGAAAATCTTTGAAAAAGAAAAGAAAAACAATAGCAGGAAGCGGTACTGTGGTCTTTACGGGAGGTGCGAGGGCACTGGGGACCTTCAGGATTGATACCTAGGTCACCCCTGCAACAGTATCAGGCCCAGAGCTGCTGGGGAAGAAGGCCTTTGGGGATCTAAACCCCTAGGTCCCACTGGACGGGTCCCTGCTGGGGAATAGCTGACCTTTAAGCCCAGAGTTCTTTCATCCAAGAAAAAGATAGCTGGAGCCCTAAGGCTATCAGCTAGTTGCTGTTCCGTTTGGTTCTGGGCAGACACTTACCCTCAGGAGTGACACACATACTTGGGTGTGTCACGTGTGCATTCTGAGGACAGTTGGATGCTTCTGTCCCATGTACAGGCAATGAGCAGGTCTCCGGTGCAAGGGTCCCAAGGCAGGCAGGCCGAGGGCTCCCAGCTCATTTGAATGTGGGAACACTTGGAGACTAGTGGCTAGATCTGTGCTCACAGGTGGAAAGCGCTGGCCAGCTGCTGCTTGGGATGGAGCAGAAAGGGCGGCCGTAAGGGACTGGCCTCATTCTACAAACATTGGTCCTTTTACAGCCCTCCCAGGATGGAGAGGGCTGGGAAACAAGAAGGGCGCAGGACTCAGCCCTCCAACCTGAGATCAGGGATCAGCTCAGGCAGGAGGTTTAACCCAGGGGTCAGGGCTCACCACGAAGAGCAGGTCTTAGGACTGGAATCAGGATTCAGCTCAGGGATCAGGGCTTAGTCCAGGGATTAGGGTTCAGTCCTGGGATCAGAGCTTAGCTCAGGGATGAAGGTTCAGTCCTGGGATCAGCGCTTACCCTTTGGGTTGCATGCCTCGGCTACATCATGAAGGCGGGAAGTCTATGGGAATTTTCCACCCTCTCACTCAGTGGTGCTTCCACAGCAACTGCTAATTGCCCCACCTTGTCCTGAGGATTCTCCATACCCTGAGGGGACTCTGACTGCTCTTACCTAGTGGGCCCTTGGAAATGTAGCTGACCCTCTCTGGGAGTGCTCCCTCACACTGAGACCAGAACTGGAATTTGCACCCAGGCAGGTGGATACTAAGCCTGCACTCTTCTCCAACCAGCCCCCGGAACTACTTTTGCATGTCCCCTGGACAAGTGCCGTGGCTATTTAAAACGGATGGTAGTTAGATATTAAATACTCAGGCTGAAGTCAAGTGGTACAAATTTCAGGTCACGTCCAAACTCCGGCAGCCTGGGTGGGGGACGAAGTCTGGGGGTGGAGTGGGGCTCTAGTCACAAGTCTCTTCTCACCTACCCATGGACATTCCAATCCCCAAACCCACCCCCACCCCTGAGCTCTGAACACCCTTCTGTCGACTTTGGACGGAGACCCGAGGGAGAAGCTCTACTTCGTGCCTGCATGGCTATTTTCTACCACAAGGTAGAGATGTGGCCCTGGACCCATGGGCACAAGCTTTGTTGTTTCCATTCGACTTATTTTCTGTCCTGACCCTGGTTCTTGTCAGAGCAGGAGAGAAAATGACAGGAAGACTTCTGCTCCTGGGACTGCTTTGATCTTAAAAGTGTGGTGACCCCCTGAGGTAGCCGCCTCTCCAAGGTTCAGGTGCAGGAGGCTGAGGTCTTCCCACAAATCTGCCTAGGCTGTTTTTGTGGAAAGTTACCATTTTGCAAGTTTGAAGCAGTTGCTTTTTCCTGCTGTTCCAAAAATAGGGCGGCCACGACCTTCGGCTCATAAACTCGGCCAAGGCAACAGTTGCATACACATTTGGGGTGGCTGCCCAGTTCCGACCTGGCAACCACCCGGGCACCTCTTCCTCCCTGCTCCAGTACCTCCTCCTGTGCCAGGCCTTGCGCTCTAGATGCAGGATTAACATGTGACCCCAGGCTAGCCAATCACAGAGCCCCAGCTCTGGCTGTAGCAATGGAAGCAGAGGTCAGCTCCCAAGGAACGGAACTGGGCCAAACTGAGTCATCACTGATGGACTACCTCATCTCGCTGGCACAGTTGGTCAGAGGCCAGGAGCACCCCCGCCGTGGCGGCCCTTAATTTTTCCCTCCTCTGCAGTAGAGCCTCTTCTGAGAGAGGAGGCCTCCTCTGAGGTGGGGGTCAGGTGGGGTGGGCTTCATTCTGGTCACTTAAATATACATCTCTATCCTCTCTCTGCCTCTCCTTGCTTCACCATCAGAGCAGGATGAAGAGACTTTAGGTTCTCGGTTCCAGGCTTGAGACATTACCTTCTCTCCATCTTTCTCCTGGTTGGTGGTGTGAACCACAAACACTTCCCTTTGAAAGTACAATTTGTGCCTGGCCATGGCGGCACACACCCTTATCCCAGTACTCGGGAGGCAGAGGCAGGAGGATCTCTGTGAGTTCAAGGCCAGCCTGGTCTACAGAGTGTGATCTAGGACAGCCAGGACTACACAGAGAAACCTTGTCTTGAAAAACCAAAATAAATAAATAAAGGGTGGGAATCTGACTTCCACCCCAGAATCCATGTAAAAGCTGAGTGTAGCAGCCACGTGCTTGAATTCCCAGCAATTGTGAGCTAGGAAGCAGAAACCTGTTGGGTCCCTGGAGTTC